GTCGAAATCGACGGGGGAACTGTCGTGTGTGTGTGTGTGTGTCCTCAGCGCTACGGTTTCGGGTGCGTTAGCCTTTTGCGCCTGCGGCTTTCTCGTGTTAGGGGTTTGTCTTTTTCACTGCCTTTTGCGCCTGCGGCTTTCTCGTGTTAGGGATTTGTCCTTTTCACCCCCTCATGTCGCTGCTGTCCGAAAAGTTGTCCGCCAATTTAACGGAAAAAATGAAAACCAAATCACATCCGGCAAATTGGGCTTTGTAGCCGGCGACTGGGCTTATTAGCTGGCGATTGGGCTTATTATCCGGCGGATTTTGCCATGTTAATTCCGTCCCAAGCTGATGTGGGCTTAATACGCGGCTGGGCTTATTAGCCGTGGGCTTAATAGCGGCGACTACTGTACTAATAATGATGCTACTACTACCACTACGGAATTGGGTGTCAGCACACAATGCAAAATGCAATGACGTTACCAAAATTATGACTAAATCGAACGAACAAGGTTCACCTTCGCTACGAGACAAAAAACCCAGCGATAGAGCGATTGCTCTGCGCGTAACACGGAAGCAAGCGTTTAAAACATATTCATAGGAAAGGGTCAATACAGTACAATGTGCAGATTGACGTAGGCGCATACCACGTAGGAACTGCAGTCAGCAAGGCCACAGAATAAGAAACCGACCTTTGTCCTGACATCTCGACCACACCCTAAACATTCTCAGCCAATTGAGGACACAAATAATCATTTTGGTTCACATGGTTTAGTCCGACGCACCTATATTGCAGGGTTTTTCAAATTGAGCTGCCTCCCTTTCCTGCCTCTATTTGCATGTAAATTTTCTTACATATGCTTGGGTTGGCCTACTTCACCCATTATAAACCAATTTTTTAATCCTTTTCTGTTTCTTTGAACTGCAATGAGGCCATGACTGCAAGAGGTCACAACGCTAGCGCCGTTTTGAAAGCAGTCCAATTTGGCCTATATTTGACAACCATTCCAAGGAAATTTGTCCACGATGTCGAAAATTGCAGTCATTGGTGATTATAGAGTTTTTGCGCCTAATTTTATACATGTTGAATGGGGAATGTTTTTTGCTGAAAATTTTGGAATAATATCTTCAAAATAAAGCGGATATCTCTCTCTCTATACCCCGAACGCGGAGAGAGCGAGAGGGAGAGAGAGGGAGGAAAGAATATGCGTACCTGCGTGTAGAGGACAGCCGCGGCAATCATGATAAAGACGGCAGAGAGGAGAGAGCGCACGAGACCAACCAACTGTTCACTCGTCTGCACCACAGCCAGGTACGGGCAGGCGTCATGGTACTTGGCAAACAGCACCCCCGACAGCACAGTGTGTGCCGACTTCAGCAGGCCACTCACCAGGCAGAAGAGGCAAAAGGCGAGGACGAAGACACCGGCGG